TCTGTCAACCGGTGCGAATCGTCATGCATTTGTACTGATTTTTAATCGTGTCACGATGCATCGTTACATCCCTACTGGTCACTTATCTGTCTCACTGGGGTTTGAGAAAGACTTTGGTAATTTAAATATGCATTCGCTATTAATATTGACATTTTCTCAACTGAATAATCAATTTAGAGCCGAAATTATAAATTGGTTAGTCTGTCAACAGAAAATACGGAGCAGAATGTGGCATTTTAAATTAATAATGAAAATAAAAATAAGCTATAGCCTTAAAATAACCCAAAGAAAAGGATTTCAAACATTAAAAACATTAGCTGCAGCCTTTACGGAGACGATTATGACCCTCCATCTACCTGGTGATCAATAAGGGAAACACACTGAACACCTACAGTTTCATCCTCTGGTGAAGGTGCAGCAGCATTTAGGTCCGTTTGTGATGTATTCAGTTCTCCACCGGATTCCTGTAACTATTAAGAAGATGGAAAAGTCAAATTACTGCAAGTTGAAACTCCAACAGTGTTTATTATATAGTCTTATATAATCTAAATATAAATCCAATGCAACAGTTGTGTTATAAATCTTTATTGTTGACTTTTTGTTGACAATATGTACAATGGCAAGATATTTGTAAACATGTCTGCAATAGATGTCAACAGCTAAAACTAATTATTCATGACATGATGTACAAAAACAAGGCTCATATTTAACCACAAACTTTAAATCAAGACACTCAGAAAATAAACGTACTTCTGAGCGCCAGGGGTAAGAGGAGTCCCCGTAGTCGTACGTTATCTCCTCGCCTGGAGATATTTCCTTCACTGCAAACAGGCACAGGTGTGGCTTCCCCTTATAAACAATTCTCTTCATTCTGCAGTTGGGATTTATGTGATCGTCGTTCACAAGTCTGCCGAGGGTCCCATCCTCTTTTGAAGCATCAATGCTGCAAGTAAAACACTCTTAATGAAACTTCAGCCTTTCTTAAAACAGATGTTCATCACACTGACTGATGGTGAGGACAGACTGGGGACTGTTAGATGTTTTGTGGATTCAATCAGTCAAGACGTTAACAACAAAAATTCACATTGACATGAACTGACATTTAGGTCTATTTACTACCACACACACACAAGAAATTCATGGAGCATGCATAGAGAAGGGGAACACTTTTTATTTACATCAATCTTTTTTTCAGTGATTTCGTAAAGTATTCACTCAAACATTAACCACTGGTTCTCAAACTATGGTACATGTACCTTTGGTGGTCTGTGAGCTGCCTCTCGTGGTCTCAGTAATATTTTTTAAAAAGGTAATAAAGCAATTTAAATATATATAATACTATCAAAATACTTGGGATATTAGGTTGCTGAAATGTGATTTAAAATAAGTTTTGCTTTTCCTGTAATATTTTGTTTTAATATCAGCCAGCTACGTCGTCAATTTCACCCCAAAATCCATGATTAGTTATGAGCTGAAATGTGATGGAAGGATAGTAAGTGGAGGTAAAATTAATGGTTTAAAAACACAACTCAAACTATTGGGAAGAGAGGTGTGGACCTAGTGAAACTATTTTCCACTAATTTAGCTTTGGTTCTTGAACTGGTTCAGTTCAGGATTCAACAGTCAATATTAAATAATCTTATTAGAAATAAACCTGCCTCCTGTGTGAACTGTCTGTAGCTACGGTCGGCCTGCGCTACTGTATTTTAATGTCTGTCACAATGGTCGTACTTGGGGAGCCTAATATTTTGGTGGTAAAAAGTTTGAGAAACACTGACATAAACCAAACATTAAACAGAAGATCTGAAATATAACCAGTAATCTCACCGCCAGCTTTTTCCCTTCCATGAGAAGTCAAACAAATAATCGTTCAGAGTATCAGGACATTTCTTCTTCCTGGTTTCTTTGTTGGAGGAGATGTTCCCCCGATACTCGACTACGAAGGTGGATGGTTCAATTGATTCACGGGTAAACACACCTCTCCCTATAACAGCAAGAATAAATTAAAAAAAAACAGTCCAAGTTACATCCAATCATTGTTCAACATCCCACTGAAAGCTTGCAACAAACACATAAAACATCAGACATAGCTGTAGATTAGAGCATTACAGGATATATCAGTCTCGTTATTTGGAGCTAAAATAATCTTTATTATTAATAGAAACTAAACAACAACAACAATAAAAATACAAACACTTCAACTTTAACTTGCTTTCATGACTGGATATTTCTTAAGTCTGCTGATGATCCTCAGCTGTGCTGTCAGCAGCCATAGTGCCAACCTGCTTCTTGTGATACAACAATTTGAAATTGAATTATCCTTTATATTCTAAAGTGTTAGATTTATCACACACACACAAGGTGACAGTGCTTTATATTGCATCTCGCCATGTAACTGTGTTCTATTATATCATATAGACTACTGTCTATATTATTCCTTCATAATGGTGGAGGGAGGGGAGAGGACGGGAGAAAGCATATGTAAGCCTATTGAAAAGCAACTCTGAATGTTACTTATAATTGTTTTATCTTGGTACAATAATACTGTATTGTATATATAAATTGTGTGCATTGTGAATTAATCCAGGAAATCTCGATCTCAATGACACTTCCTCTTTATAATAAAGGTTTAAATATATAATGAATTAATAAAAAAAACCTTTAACGGGGTCAATAAACATTTCCTCCAGGAAGGGTTTGTCTCTGCAATCCTTAATGTGCTCCACAGCATCTTGTTCAGGAGTCTGCCGCCTTCTCTGCTTCCTTAGGACAGTTTGTTGTTCCATAGCATCTGGAAGGATTATCCACAATTATCAAATATTAAAGAATAAACAAGGCTAACATTGGTCTCTTACACAAACCCTGAAAAACTGCCTTACAGCATTTTATTATATGTGATATATGTATATATATATTTTTTTTTAATCATACCAATAAGATAATTAATCACCAATCATTGAGAACACATGTACAATTCTTACCTCAATAGATTTATATTGACTTCTGAGTACAGCTGCAACAATTAATTGATAAATTGTCAATTTAAATGAATCAACTATTTTGATAATCAATCATTTTGAGTTATTTAAGATGTCAAAATTCTCTGATTTCAGCTTCTAAAATGTGAGTCTTTACTCCTCTATGACAGTAAACTGAGTATCTTTGTGTTGTGAACAAAACAAGATATTTGAGGACACTAATATTTGGGCTTTGGGAAACCGGGATCTCCACTGTCACCATTTTCTGACATTTTATGGACCAAACAATTAATCAATTCATGGAGAAAATGATTTACAGATGAATCTATAATGGAAATAATTGTTAGTTGCAGCCCTACTTCTGAGGCAATTTGTAAATACATTAATAAACTGTACCTACTTGAACTAAAGCATTTATAATTATCCTTAACATCATAAAATAAAAAATAAAAATATTTTTTAAATCCTTTACTTGTGCAAACTGTGTGAGACTCTTCTTCTGCGGTGTCTCCAGTTCAGTAATTAATACCACATTTGAATATTTAAAATTATTAAATTTTTATTCAAATTGACCCAAAGGGAATCTTATGGTCAGTTAACAGACAATGAAGTAATGTCCCTTATCGACTGGAATAGATTAGATTACAGATAAATAGGAAGGGAAACCTACCGCTGTACTGAACTAAAGGATCTGATTCTTCATCTTCCTCCTCAGATTCCTCGTTTTCAGGGTTGTCCTGCTCCACATCGGGCTCCAATTCATCTTCAATTAAAAAAAAAAAAAAAAAAAGACAGCATGCATTAATTTGAACTTTAAGAAGTGATTTGTCTCTACTAAACAGGCACTGGCAGGTCAGACGTGTGTATTATACGTACCCTCAATCTCAATCTCCTCCAGAGAGTTTCCTTTGAATCTTTCAAGAGAGCCTTTTTCCATCGCCAGAAGGAGTTTTGCTATTTTTGCAAGTTCCACCGCTGCCTCCGGCGACCGATAATAGTCCCTGTCAGCTCGGATGTCGTGGCCCAACAGTTTGGCCAGGTGATGGAGCTCGTCGTTCTCCAGGTTGAGAATCTGGAAGACTCTCGCGATGTGTTTGTGAAGATGCACCGACCTGAGATGGTCTGGGTTCTTTGCCCGACACAGACTTGAAAAAGCCCTGATGCAGTTCCCTCCGTGGTAAAGGCTGGTAGCAGAAGAGTTTGGCTTCGCAAACAAGAAAGGATTGTCTTTGTGGACACCACATGCTTCTCTGTTGCTCACAAGCAGTGACATTGCACTGACGAGTTCAGAGGTCAACAAGACAGCAACGTCTTGGCCGGCCCTGCTCAGGATATTTATTCTGATGAAATGTTTGGACAGCACTTGCGTAGTGTCGCCTCTCTCCCGGAATGACTTCAGGGTCATTTTTGAAACCTCTGGAGCACATTTGTTTAAGACCGACACTTGTGCCAGCGTCACTCTGCAGAGAGCATTGTAGACCTGTGGGCTGCGCTGCACTCTCAGGCTTTCAATGGCAGAAGCTGATGTTATTTCTAAGTACTTGTAGAAAGTCTGCATGTCGCGTGTGAACGGTATCGTAGACGGTTTGTTCACCTTTCGTCCACTCAACGAAGCCAAGGCTGTCTGAGAGACAAGTTCACTCCATTCTTTTGCACACAACTTCATGAACGTCTTTGTGTCTTTCATCATCTGCTCATTCCCGCCAGCACCAGCGAGGACAATGGCGGCTATTTTTTTGAGCGAATGTCCTAATTTCAAAGCGAGAGTTGGTTTTTTATAGCTCTGCATCTTTTTGTTAAAACCAGTGATGTCTTTGACGGCCTCAACGACTTTGTAGAAGTGGTTGGGTTTGATGGCATCTTCTAAGCTAAATATCGATTTGTCGTGCAGCGCCAGCAAAAGTCTTCCGATTTCTCGCAGCTTCTGTCTGATGAACTCGTGTTTATTTGATTTGTTTCCATACTTCTCGCACAGAGACTGTGCCAGCTGCATTAGGAGGAGATCATTTTGAACTGTGAACGCAATCTCATCTTGTTTCATACCCAAAAGCATCTTCCACACACCAGATGGAAGATTTTGGGAGTATGGTGACTCTGCAAGAGAAAACTCACTTAAGACTCTTTTCTTGCCATCTGTTGTAGACTTTGACATTGGCCTAGCGTGACATCTGGATACATGCCTCCACAATTCCTTCCGCTGCAACATGCCTTTACAGTACAGACAGTGCGCGTGGCTTTTAGCATTGACCGCCACCGTTGTCGGTCGTCTTCTCAGTTTCAACTGTCCACTTTTATTCTTCATCACTTCTTGATTGTGTTTGTAATTTCCAAGGTTCCGTAAATGGTCAAACACCCGTCTTCGCTCCCTGGAGTTTTTCGGCAACGCAGCAGCTTCAGCAATATCAGGCTCTTCATCAGCATGCGTTAAAAGGTGTCGAGCAAGTTTAGAAACACTTTTCCCGCAGACGTAACAATGATTTTTAATGGTGTAAAAACGCTCGTCTGGCTTTTGTGAATACTTGCTGGGTTTGTAGTCTTCATCCGAGGCGGGTTCATCAGAGCTGAAAGCAGCTTCGTCCTCAGGCTGGGGGCTTAAAGCGCCATCGTATTCCAGCGTCTCTGTCACCTCTTGAGAGGAATCCATATTTGTAAAAGGAGAACTGTCCCTAAAGTCCAGCTGACTGTTGGCAAAACTGTAATTTTCATGACTTGGTCCGCTGTCAGAGAGTTTGTCATCATCATCATCAGAGCCAGAATTATCAGAGCTGGACGATGCCGCAGAGTCCTCAAGCTGGAAATACAGTACAAACAAGAAATGTATAGATATAGATTACTTTCTACGTACACACAGAAAAACATGCTCTGCCAGTATGCTGTTAAAACTATATTATAGTTGTATTTTTAGCATTTTGGAAAATCTACTTTAAGATTTAATTGAGATCAATACCACACTCATGTCAGCCAGCAGCTAGTTAGCTTAGCTTAGTGTATAATTAAGATTGGACAGGGACAAACAGCTAGCCTGGCT